GGGCCGAGAAAAGGGGCTCCTTCGGCCAGCTTATGGCCGTGATTTATTAGGCACAAACACCTGCGGGCGTATGTCGGGGACATAGCGCTCGAAAATGGCTCCATTGAGTTTGTACTCGAGAAGTAGCTTGCCTGCAATGGAGGTAAGGCTTGTCGCCTGTGTGCGTATGTCGGGGACATAGCGCTCGAAAAAGACTCTATGAAGTTTGTACTAGAGAAGTAGCTTGCCTTCAGTAGAGATAAGGCTTGTCGCCTGCGGGCGTATGTCGGGGACATAGCGCTCAAAAAATGCTCCATTGAGTTTGTACTCAAGAGGTAGCTTGCCTGCAATGGAGGTAAAGCTTGTCGCCTGCGGGCATATGTCGGGGTCATAACCTTCGAAAAAGACTCCATGAAGTTTGTACTCTAGAAGTAGCTTGCCTTCAGTGGAGGTAATGGAGGCTCGTCACCTGCTTGGAGTCGAGCTGGTAAGCTGCAACTCAAACAATGGCCTTCTTGTTGTAGTAAGATGCCACTTGCTGCTGGTAAGCTGTAACTCGAACAATGGCCTTGTTGTTGTAGTAAGATGTGAGTTACTACTGGTAAGCTGCAACTCGAACAATGGCCATTTCTCGTTCTTCTTCGAGCAGATCAAGGTTGACTTTCATCTGCTTGCGGTTTTGATCAAGACTGCCCACCTCAATGCTCATCAAATGGACTGTGATGTGTGGGGGGATGACTGCTTCTGTCCCGTAGGCCAGAGAAAATTGTGTCTCGCCGGTTGATCTCCTTTTGGTTGTGTGATAAGCCCATAGGACTCCTGGCAGCTCGTCTACCCATTTTCCTTTGGTGCCTTCCAGTCTTTTCTTCAGGCAGTCCAGCATGATCTTGTTGGATGGCTCAGCTTGGCCATTGCCCTGCAGGTATCTAGGAGTTGACATGTGCTGTTTGATGCCATACTTTGCAAGGAATGCCATAATTTGCCTACCCACGAACTGTGTACCATTGTCGGTGAGTATCGACTGAGGGCAACTGAATCGGCAGATGATGTTCTTCCAGATGAACCACTCAACGTTAGCTTCCTTGGTAAAGGATAAAGCCTCGGCCTCGATCCATTTGGTGAAGTAATCAGTGGTGATGATCATCATCTCCTTCTTGGCAGGTGCCGTCAGGATAGATCTTACCAAGTCAATGGCCCACTGCATGAATAGCCATGGACTGTTCTGCGGACGTTATTCTTCAGTTGGCAGGCCAGGGATTGGCTTATAGCGTTGGCATCGATCACACCTGCAAGCATACTCTGTGCAGTCTTAGCACATGATAGGCTAGAAATAGCCTACGCTGAGAGCCTTCTGGGCAAGCGATCTGCCCCCAGTGTGATTTCCACATTCCCCGTTGTGTATTTTGCAGAGAACCTCGAGCGTTTGCTAGTACTTGATGCAAGTAAGGTGAGGGCAGGAGTATAATCTGCGAACAAGCATGTCGCCTTTCATGTAGTATCTCGTAGCCTTCTGTTTGATTTTCTTGGCCTCAGACTTGTCCTTTGGCAAGTTTTCGTTAACTAGGTAGTCAATGATGGGTCTTACTAGCTAGGATCCTCATCGATCTACATCAAGTCTGGCTGCTTTGCCTCTTCAATGCTTGGTTGGTTAAGGTGCTCGATTGAGATGAAGCGTCTAAACTGGGTATCCAGTGCTAATCCTAAGCTTGCCAGCGCGTCTACGTGCGCGTTCTCTGCTCGGGGCACTTGTTGGATGGTGAAGATAGGAAATGCCTTCAACAGCACTTGGACTTTGTCAAGGTACAAGATCATCCTCGGATGTTTTGCCATGTATTCTCCTGAGGCTTGATTTGTGATCAACTAGGAATCTGAGTAGATGGCCAGCTTCTTGATTGATAGCTCATTTGTCAAGCGCAAGCCAGCAAGCAATGCATCGTATTCTACCTCATTGTTTGAGGTCGGGAAGCCAAGCGTGATAGCTTGCCCTAACAAGGTTCCATTTGGGGTGATGATGACAACGCCTGCTCCAGCTCCTTTTTTGGTTCGACGCTCCGTCTACGCGCAACTACCACAGGTTCGGCGGAGGTCTTGTATGCTCTCAAACTTTCCTTCTTTTTGTTGACCAGCTTCTCTTCTTCGGTCGATGGGGTGAATTCTGCTACAATGTCTGCTAAAGCTTGGGCTTTTATTGCTGTCTTTTGCCGGTAGAGGAGGTCGTATTGGCTTAACTCTATAGCCTACTTCATGAGTCGTTGAGAAGCGTTAGGGCTGTGGAGGTCATGATGATGACTCAGTGAGCTTGGTAGTAGGGTCGCAGCTTTCTTGCGGAGACTACAAGTGCAAAAATGAGCTTCTTTAATTTCGAGTAGTGAGTCTCTGAATCAAGGAGAGCTTTTGACGTGTAGAATACCGAATGTTGGGCCCCCAGTTCTTCTCGGATGAGAGCTGAGCTGACAGTCGAGTTGGATATTGCCAGGTACACAAACAAGTCTTCACCATGAACTGGCTTTGAGAGCTGGGAGGTGAAGTGAGGTAAGTCTTTAAATTCTGGAAAGCTTCTTCGTCCTCCTCGTCCCATTTGCCTTTTTGCCCCTTCTTCAAAGCTTTGAAGAATGGTCTGCATTTGTCGGTAGATCTCGAGAGGAATCAGTTGAGGGCTGCTGCTCTGCCCGTCAGACTTTGTATTTCCTTTACTGTTGAAGGTGACTTCATCTCGAGAATTGCCTTGATTTGGCGTGGATGCACCTCGATACCTCGTTGAGTTACTAGGTATCCCAGGAATCGGGCAGACGATACACCGAACGTGCATTTACTTGGATTCAGCTTTATGCAATACCGTCGGAGCAGGCTGAATGCCTCAATGAGGTTCTTGATGTGGTCTGCGCGCTTAGGGGCTTTGACCAGCATGTCATCCACGTAGACTTCCATGGTTTTGCCGATCTGCTCCTTGAAAATTTTATTCACGAGCCTTTGGTAGGTTGCTCCGGCATCCTTGAAGGAGGTCTTCGCCTTGTAATCCTCGTGCATCTGGATTTCATTATAGCCAGAGTAGGCGTCCATGAAGCTGAGCAGCTGATTGCCGGAAGTTGAATCCACGCCTTGTCATCCTCAGGCTTCCAACCTTTTTCAAGGGAGTCTTACGGGCAAATTCCCTTGCCTTGATCCTGGCTCCTTAATTGCTATTGTGAGCTTGCAACTGCCTTCCCGTTCGGGCTTGCTTATTTGCTAGGAATGTGTCCTGCCACGTCAGCAGGCTGTATTACTAATGTGAACTACAACTGCTTGCTCTTCTTGAGCCCTTGGGCTGTGCATCTCCTCGCCATGGCTTGGTCACTGTTGATCTGCCCGATCCCGCCCCTAGGGATAGGGTAGCGGATCTTCTAGTGTAGAGAAAATGTGATGGCTTCGATCTTGTTGATCCATGGTCGGCTCAAGATTCCATTGTAGGGGGAGATCTCGTAGAGAACCATGAAGGTTTGTGTGCAGACCACTGGGGTGAGTGGATGTCAAGGTCAATCGTTCCCACAGTGATCGATGTGGCCCCATTGAAGCCGGTGAGTGACCTAGTGTTTGTGCCTGATAAATCACGGCCATAAGCTAGCCGAAGGAGCCTTTTCTCTCGGCCCTGGCACTTGTTCGTAAAAACTGAAACGCAGCGTTTCGCCAGGGTACTTCGCCTTCCTAAAGACAAAAGAAGAAATGCTAAGGCATGATCATCTCGGCCTCAAGCGCAGGCCGAGGCCGAGGCCGAACAAAATCGCGGTCAAGGCATTAAAGGCAAATCATCACGTGACAGCAGGGTCCCAGGCTTCATTTAATGAAGTAGTGCCTGTTTAATGCAGCAAACCCATTGGCCACAAAGAAGCATTTAATGCATGAGGGAAGGTGGGAAGTGACTAAAGTCAGGATTTGGTGATGAGGATCAGAGTGATTAGACGTGGACATTCTCACAAGAATTCTGACAGCCTGAGATATTGGTTCACCAGCTATCCAGGCCATAAATGCATCTCCACGGCCAGAAGCTCAGAACCCACGATCAAGAGCGGCGGCCGAGATTCACCGGGATTTCTGGGGTCACACCACCATACTTCACGATCCCAAATGTCGATTGGACTGCCCACTTGCGCTAATCAGACTCCACTATGCGTAAATTCAGCCTCGATTACTCATCCAGGGACTCTTCCTATAAATACAAGACTCGAGCTACATTCAAAGGGTTCAACACCAAAACAAAGCCTCCCACGGAGCAACTTATTTTTTCCTGTAATGCACTTTCAATAGCTTTACTTGCTTTCCTAGGAGTAGTGTTAGATTGTAAGGAAAATCCATTCATCAATATATCATACGACCCTTGAGTTTCAAGGCGCCGGAGCACCATCCTTGTTGTTCGTTCACTCACCCCATATATCACATGACCGTCGCTCCCTGAGCAGCGCGCCGGAGCACCGCCCAAAACCCACCACCAACACCAACACTCAACGGCCTTGTAGTTCAGGCCGTGAACCTAACAGCCTTGACCAGTTCCTCTCTCGGCTACAATCGTTTGACTAGGAAGACAGTTCAAACAGGCGCACCACTTATCCATCCAACACTCATCAACACATCGATGCTCGATAGACCGTGCTGGCACGCCCGCGCACAACCGCACCACACCCAAAAGCAGGAAACCGTGTGTTAATGCACATCCCTTCGGCTCGGAACTCCAGGCCGTGAGATTTGCGCGGCAGACACCTAGCAAGTTTGTTGATCTTAGGCTCCAATCTCATCTGTTGGATAACAGATAGTTGCGGGATGTTGGCTGCGCTGCCTTCGGCCACATGAACTCACTCGATCACAACTTGTTCAATTTGGATGCAGATGACTAGGGCATCATTATGTGGCAGATCAAGCCCGATCAAGTCCTACTTCTGAAAGCTGATGACGGGTGTATCTTCAATGACTGGACCGCTAGTTATGACTTGGGAGATGTAAGTCGCCTGCGCGATCTTTCTCTTGCACTCCTTGGTGGTAAGCCCAGACTCCTAGAAGTCAGCTAGAATGGTGTTGATCCGTATGACCTTTTGGGAAGGTTCTTTGGCAGCTCTGTCACGATCCTCGATTTGCTGGATGACCTTCTTTGCGATGAATTTCGTGCAATGGCAGTCTTTGACCAGCTCCTCGAGCTGCCTTTTCCAAGCATTGCAGTTGTTGGTGTAATGACCATGCTCCCCGTGGAATGCGCAGTATTTACTGGTGTCCCTCCTGGACGGGTCTCCCCTCAGGGGCGGCAGTCTCCTCACCCACAGCTTGTCCTTCACTTGTGCTAGGATCTGGTGGATCGGGATGGTATCTTGGGGCCGCGATCTGCTCTTGTCCCAGATTTTGTGCTCAAACTTGTTTCTATTTTGGTTTGACTGCCTTGTCGGGTGGTCAGCTTGCTTGCTGGCTTTCTTTGCGGCAATTCGGTCATTGTCCCAGATTGCGTAGCTCTCTGCCGTCGCGAAGACTTCTGCCAAGGTTTGGCTCGGAGTTATGGCTAGCTCACGGTATAGCTCGTGTTCGGTTGGCAAGCCCTTCTTGAAAGCTGAGGATGCAACTAAGTCATTGCATCCTTTTGAGGTAGTCTTAGAGTGACTCATCTGGCTTCTTGTGCAGGTTGAACAGGTGGTCTGCATGCTTTCTGACCGTCTGGTAGGAGGTGTACTCCTTTGTGAAAATAAGAGCGAACTCCTTGAAGCTACCTATCGAGGTGGACGGTAGAGTGTGAAACCAATCTTGAGTTGCTCCTCGCAGAGTCATCGTGAACACTTTGCACATCAGGGCATCGTCTACCTTGTACAGGATCATTGCGCTCTTGAAGTGCCTCAAATGGCTCTCAGGGTTGGAGTCCCCTTTGAACAGAGTAATGGACGGCGTTGTGAACTGCTTCAATGGTGCAGCTCGTTCCACCTCGTCTGTAAAGGGCGAGCAGTTGACTCGATCAATTTCCCTACGCAGGGCTTCCTCCATGCTTCCTTTTAGTTGGAGACCTTGGAGTCGGTCATTCACTAGCTTCTCGACAACCTCTGCGTGTAGTGGCTCGGGTTGATGTCTTTGGTGCCCCGAGCTCCGCTGGTTAACTTCTTCCTCAGCTCCCAAGGAGATTGAGCTTGAGAGGATTCCTCTACGGCTTGTCGCCGTGTATTGGTTCTCGAGTGGGCTGGTGAGCACTAGTGTTAGCGAACTCGAGCTCCTTCTGGGTTTAGCCTAGATTGGATACTTCCTTGTGGGCCCAAGCGAGCGTGGACATTGGACTGTGGGCCCAGCCTCTCACGTACATTGGTCCTTGGACCTAACCTTGAACGAATCATCGATCGGCTTAGAGTACGACTTGCAGATGTCTGCGTCTCATCAGCACGATCTCGTTCTCTCCCTTGCCCGTTTGTCCCTGTCTGACCAGCCTGGGATCTCTCGAACTGCTTGCTGGTATGCTCGTGTTTCCTCGTCTCCTCGTCACGGGGTCCAAGGTTAGGGCCTTGGTTCAAGTTGATCTGCTGTCGGCTGCGCAGATCTCACGGCCTGGGGTTCCGGGCCGAGGGGATGTGCGTTGACAGTTGGCTTCCTGCTTTTGGATGCGGTGCGGTTGTGCGCGGGTGTGCCAGCACAGTCTACCGTGCGTTGAGAGGTTGATGTGGATGGAAATGGTTAAGTGGTGCGCCTGTTTGAACTCGTCTTCTAATCAAACGACTGTAGCCGAAAGAGGAACTGATCTCGGCTGCAAGGTTCACGGCCTGAGCTACAAGGCCGTTTAGGGGTGGTGCTGATGGTGGGTTTTGGGCGGTGCTCCGGCGCGCTACTCAGTGAGCGGCGGTCGTATGATATATGGGGTGAATGAATGAGTAACAGAGATGGTGCTTCGGCGCCTTGAAAATCAAGGGTCGTATGATATATTGATGAATGTCTTTTAGTTTGAGCAGAGGGGTCAATGGCCGGATTTTCCCTGCCAAATTGGATATGAACCGCCTTAAAAAGTTGACCTTACCGAGGAAGGACTAGAGCTCCTTCTTGGTTCTTGGCGGAGGGGCCGCCATGATGGCCGTGGCTTTATTTTTATCTACCTCGATTCCTCGTTGGTGAACTAAGAAACCGAGGAAATTCCCGGCGGTGACGCCGAAAGCATACTTCTTCGGGTTCATCTTTAGGCTGTGCGCTCGCATTCGGTTGAAAGCCTGTCGGAGATGTTCTACGTGGTTGGCTTTGGACGGGGACTTTACAACCACGTCGTTGATGTATACTTCAACGGTCCACCCTGGCCTATAAGGTCGTGGAAAATAAGGTTTATAGCTCGCTGGTACGTCGCGCTGGCATTCTTTAGGCCGAACGGCATGACCACCCACTCATAGGTTCCGATCGCGCCCGGGCATCGGAACGCTGTTTTGTGGACATCTTCCTCGGCTATGAAAATTTGGTTGTAACCAGCATGGCTGTCCATGAAAGACAAGAGTTCGTGCTTCGCGGCTCCGTCTACCAGGAGGTCTGACATAGGCATGGGGTACTCGTCCTTTGGGGTTGCAAGATTCAAATTTCTGTAATCGGTGCAAACCCTCAAGGCCCCAGTCTTCTTCAAAACTGGTACGATGTTAGCCAACCACTCAACGTACCGGGCCGTTCGGATGAAGTCGGCTTTAAGTAGTCGTTCAGTTTCTTCCTTGACTTTAAGTTGCACTTCGGTCGAGAACCGCCTCGGCGATTGTTGGAAAGGCCTAAACCCCTCCTTGATTTTCAATTCGTGCTCAACCAAACTTCTTGGCAACCTGGGCATCTCATGGTAATCCCAAACGAAACAATCCTTATATTCATGGAGCAGGCCGATAATCTCGGCCGCTAACTCAGGGTCCAAAAGCTGGCTTACAAAAAGAGGCCATGGCTCGGCCTCCGATCCTACATTGATTTCTAATAAAGGGTCCTGGACCTTAGGGTAGTCATCCTCCATCTCGGCGGGCGCCGTCTCCAGGTCGTCGAACGTCAAAGCGTCCGTCTCGTCTGATTCGTGGAGGAATTCGATCAGGTTGATTGGTGAGTTTGGCCGCAGGGACTCCTCCGCCCAATGTTCTAGCAGTCTTTCCAGCAGGTCGGTCACGGCCGCCGCTCCTTCTTCTTTAGTGGCTTTGTCTGTCATCTAAAGGCTGGTGAGGTCGATCAATACTTCGCGCGCCGAATCCTGTCGGACATTCTCGGCGCCTAACTCCAGTACTTTCTGGGCTGTTGTCCTGGTTGGTCTGCCGCTTGCATCGTGGCCGGTGAGGACAACCCATCCAACGTCGTCGTCGTAAATCCGCGCTTGCATGACGTTGGTCTCGAAGGGTTTTTCGTCGGCCGGGTGTATGGACACCCTCTGGCCGTCCCAAAAGAAAAGTAGTTGGAAGAGGGAGGACGGTATGCATC